ATATCTGCAACGTACAGCAAATACTTGGGTGAAGTTCTCCCATAGAAATTTCGACAGTCTGTCAGACTTCTCATATCCGAGAGCCATTACGAAATCTCCACCCACCGAAGATAAATAACGGTGAAAGGCTAGTGGTGCAGGAAAGTGTCCCGAATCTTGGGACAGTGTTTGCACTGGTAAACGATTTTACCTACCTAAGGGAAATCCTGGAACAACGAGGGTCACGTCAAATTGACGGTCATCACCTCGGATTGTTATCCGACATTCCATTTTTTCGATAACAAATTGAAAAATCCACGAGTTAAATCATCACCAAGAGAATTTTTCTCTTACACACATGTACACTGAGAGAAATATTCAATAAAAATTACGTGTATTTTCCGTAATTCTGGAACGAAATGTGGTTGTCGGAAATTTTACGGAACTGCCACGTAATTTTTATCTAAATTCGCGGAATTTTTTCGCGGTGTTCCGTAATTTTTATCTGAATTATCGGTGAAAAATAACGATACCGTCACTTAAATTTTTCGAATCAACTCCGTAATCGGTAAGTGAACTGAAAGTTCCGTAATTTTTACTAAATATTTCTCTCCGTGTAGGAAGGAAAATTCTTTGAATAATGAACGCACGCAATTGCTCTAATTCAACACTGAATAGTTCCATTTGAATTATTCCTGCAATGAACCCTATTTTTCCATTTGAACTTATGAATGCCTGAATCGATGATTTCAGGCCGAAGAGAATATACCGTATTCATGTTTATTATTCATTAATTTTAATTGGAAATTTTCATTTTTAATTTGTAGGGAAGCTCTCGGAATTTTTATTATAACGTTTCAATTGAATTTCAGTGTAATTTTTTTTTTTAATTAAATTTTTCTTCAATTCAAATGGAGGAGTGGGGAGTGGCGGCGGGAAAATTTTGAAAATAAAAAAAATTTCAACTAGAAATAAATGTGTAATTTTCAGTGTAATTTTTTTTTTAATGAAATTTTTCTTCAATTCAAATGGAGGAGTGGGGAGTGGCGGCGGGAAAATTTTGAAAATAAAAAAAATTTCAACTGGAAATAAATGTCAAGGGCCCATTAGACGAAACCGCCCCACCCCCAAAGAGTCCGAATGAATGGACACTTTTTATAAAAATACATGCATCTCCTAAGGAAATGAATCCTCGGCGAAAATAATTTCTTTCCCAGTACCAACTTTATGTGATTTTTTAAAAAATTCACGGACTGTAACGACACGCATGTATATCACAAGCTGTCCAAGGGTCCGGTTAAAAATAAATGCACGATAAAAAATTCCATTTCCCTTGGTGTAACTCAAAATCCCACCGTTTGGTCTTGGGATGCCGATGGATAGGTGAGCGTTGGAGCAGTGCCAATATATCGGCCACCGACATACCCCCGACACAATGGAATATCCGGGGCGAGAGCTTTGACCACGTTTCGGTTAAATTGTCTAAACCTGAGTGAATTCTTTCCTCCAACATCGATTGACACATAAACACAAAATTATTCACCCCTTGTATTTTACCCCTTTTACTTGCAACCCCAAATTCTCCATTCATCCATCCATCGGCCATTCACCCCACCACTCCACACCCATAATCGTTGAGAATATTCAGATGAAATACCGTGATACCGTGGAAACGATCGCTGGAAAATTTTTACGATCGCCTCACGCTATAAAAATTTACTCGCGAATTTGTCTCCTAGAATGCGGTGAAAAATCACTGACCCCCCGTCGAAAAATATCGCACGGCAATTTATTTCCTTGTTACTCATGCCAAAAATAATTCAAAATGGTCATTAATTCATTCAGCGCGAAGTGCTTTTCTATTGACATTAAAGTTAAGATAAAAAAAAACAATGGTACACGCTTATCGGAGCCAGAAAAAGGCGAAATTTCCCATCGCCTCTAACAGAAAATGGGTTTTCGATGGAAGAGAATCGTTATCGAGGTACTTTGCATATTCAATTTTTTTTTCACCCCTTTTTTCCCCCTCGAATCTCACCCGACCCCTCAACCTTCCCCCCCCCAAGTACTTTTTTTTTTCTGTTCGTCACGCCTTGGCAGTATTGGGCGATTTCCTCTCAGCGAATACATAAATAGGGAATACAAAATTTAATGTAAGCAAACGATATGCACCAATGTGGTATAATAACGAGAGAATGAAAATAGAGGAAATGAGGGGAACGAAATTGGAAATTTATTCTTGCAATTTTGTCACACCACTGGCTCAACCTCGTTGGCGCAATATGACAGCCAACGGGTAATGACGGTTGAGATGTTTTGCGCTTGAATTATAATATTTTTTGAATAATTCCTGGGTAATGAATTGGTGGGTGGAATTTCCACTGCAAGGAGATTCATTCGCTCCGCATATTTTTGAATTGAATATAAATTTGCTCTCGTACATGGAATTATGAACGTTGAACGTCATTTTTGAGATAATATTAGAATCCCGTTATAGTCGCACCTCTCCTCAATTTATTTTTTCGCCTATCTTTCAGTTCTCCAACTCTTAAATACTTTATTGTTGTGTCCGGGGACGAATTGAATTCCAAAAAATAAATTTCTCTCATATATTAGAACTTGTTATGAACTTCACTTTGCAGGCGCTCGGGCGCATGGTGGGGGAAATTTCATACAGTCCGATCCTACGGATTCGCTTCCCCTACAGCCCCATACACTGAGAAAAAAAATTCGTTTGCCAAGAATATTTACTAATCACAAGAAAATATATTTGGCACTAGTAAATCTTATGGGAGTATATACAGTAGTTGCATAATTTACTGGTGAGAAGAATATATTCTTGGCAAAAGAAATTTTTTTTCTCAGTGACGCGACCCTAACCGGAATGTAATGTGCATATCAAAATTCAAATTCAATTTTACACTGAGAGAAAATTTTCTACAACAACAACAACAACAATAATAATTATTATTATTATTATCTGTGAATAGAATATTTATGACAATAGAGTTCCCGCTTTTCGTGTATTCCCGAGAACGATTAAAATTTAATTTAAAAAGAGTGAAAGGTGTAATAAAAAATAGTCGGTCTTTGTTAGAATAAATGAGATTCACTCCCCGCGTAGAATTTTTTTTCTCTCAGCGTAATTGCAGAAAGTTCTCCACACATGAGGCCTCGACTATCCGTAATATAACCCATTCAAAGCATGAGCCAGCAATTTATTTATAAAGACTCCCTCTGAGCTTCCCCTGAAAATCCACCTGGAAATATCATACGTTGATGTAGCAACCCGGATATTTGATGTCAACACAGTGATTGGCACGAAATAAACCATGACACTGTCATGCGCGAGTTTGATTAACTCGGTGGTATAAGCTCCCTATGAATTCACGTGTGTCGATACCGACTTAATCATCACGTCAGACCATTCCTAACGAAATTTTAGTCCCCAACATTTTCCGTCCACGGTCATTACACTGTCAAAACAAAATCCCACCCTCCACCCCCAAAAATTTACACCAACTTTTGTTTACACCCCAGACACACTCATTATTTATGTCAGCGATATATCATCCCCCTAATCTTGGATAATCCCGACAAAACTCACCCTCGAAACAATTATTGAATTCATATGATTTCATCTTTAGCGACTCGCCTCAATTAGCGTCATCCCTCCAATTTTCACCGGGAAAATCCAATTACACCACTAGTTTCAACAATAAATGTCAATCACACCGTAACCACTGGTTTGCCCATTGAAAATCCCCTCACCCCGTCCACCCTCTCCACCCTTTCCGCCCCCCTCCTCCCCCGCCACCCCCTGCTAACCCCCGATTTCCAAAAAGTCTTGATCAGTGGCACATGTGGCTTTTGTTTTCCCCGAAAACGAGAAAAATTCATCACCACTAGCTTTTGTCGTGTGATAAATAAATAAAAAAAAAACAGGGTGTCATAAAAAAGCCGCGAAAACAACCGCCCACAAAACTGGGAAATTGTTTATTTCGGTATGTTAAGCAGCTCGAAAAATTTATATGCACCAGGACGGTTTACTTTATCGTATCTTACGAGCAAGTTTTAGTAAAGTGTCATCGTTGGCCAAGTGTGGGCGTGTGCTATCCTTTCAGAGGCTTTGGATAGCGTTTGGAAGATTAAGGTAAAGGCAGTGTGCGTCGTCGGGTCTGCTGGGATTTTCTACATTTGAAGTAGCGTCACGTAAGACTCAAGTTTCCACGTTTAAGCCGAGAAACGATCCAAACCTCTTAATCTCGCAACTATTTTCGCTTGGATTATTTCGTTGGCTTTTTGTTTGTCTGGGAGGGTGGAAATAAATTTTCCAAACTTTGAGATTAGACAGCTTGAGAATGAGTCACACAATGACAGAGGATCCGACAGCAAATTATTCCCTCAGCACTTCAAAAATGTAATCAATAAATTTGGAAAATTTGATTGTTCGAAGGAACAATTCTGAAGAAACAACATAAAGCTAATTTCATTTGTGGATATCAGAGGATCTTGGAGATTTCGCAATTCTATAATGCAATTAAAAAGGTGGGGATTTGCAAAGTTGATTCCATACGACTCGCAAATGCTTCCATGATCCGCTAAATTTCTCAAATTGTTCGGACTCAATTTGTAAATCATCAAGAATCATAACTCCATCTTCACTTAAAACATGCTACCCTTATCTACATTCCAATTTCCCCAGCAATCCCCCAAAACACGAGCTTTCAATATGCAAATGTTAATACATTAATAAGTAAAACGCGGCATTCGTGACTGCGAATATCGCCAGGCATTCGATTTTCATCTCGGATGTACTTAATTACATTTCAGCAATTCACCCCGAACCACATACACTCATTTTATCACGTCATACAAAACTTGTGGCAGTTTTCCTGCGAAAAATCCCACAAGCATCACTTGCAATCATCTATCAATGCAACTGGCTAATTTAATTGGTCGACAGTTAATTGAAATGAATCCCCGTCAACCGTTAAAAGGTGATTTTCATTGGTATGCATTCAATTGATATCTACTGTCGGATCGAGTAGCCACATGAGAGATGTTGCTTGGTGCTTCGAGCCAGCTTGGGGAGCTTTAGAGTTCCCAGTGGGCCAACACCAGGTACTAGGCATCGATTTCTTCGTTACCCGTGGGAATGTGGCTGCCAGGATAGCCATGTGGTTATGTGTGGTTTTCGTACCCCCCGTGACCGCCACACCTCCACCACCTCCACCACTTCCACCACCTCCATTGCTTCCACTACTTCCACTACTTCCACTACTTCCTCCACTTCCACTACTTCCACCGATTCCACCGATTCCACCAATTCCACCGATTCCACCGGTTCCACCGATTCCACCGATTCCACTGATTCCGCCGATTCCACCAATTCCGCACCCTTCACTTCCCATTTCTCCAGTCTCATACAGACGCCACGAATCAATGTTCGAGAGTTTAATACACGCGATAACTCAACGGCTACGAATGGCCCTGGCAATGCCACTTTGCTTGTGGTTATGCTTTGTTACAGTGATGTATTGTTATGTCTTGATATAAATATCTCGAGGTATTTGATCATTCATCAAATTTTCCAGTGAAAGGGTGATACATGTGTGGACAACCGGAGAATTGGTGCTCCATCAAGATGACAACCATCAGATATCACGTCAAGACAAGGAATGATCTTGATAACGATGATGATGATGATGATGATGATGATAACTAAATGACATCAGCAGGACAATACCAGAAAGTGCATAAAGGGATGAGAGAAAAGGTCAAAGCAGTGGAGATGCAAATACTGGGAGCCACACCGGATAATTGATAACAGAAACTGGAAGTTATAACAGCCAAGTGGCGTCTTAAGTAAAATATCTCACAGCCAGTAGATTTCCGGTGTATACATGGGAGTTGCCAGTTTGAATCCCAGTGAGATACTAGGGTAACTGGGGTGAAAACCCGTTGGATCCACGGGGGTGAGCCAGAGTGAGACAGACACAACCGCCAATAAATTGTGGCAATCAGCGAGACTGTCGGGTCTGCCGTAGTATATCTTGCTTCTGTATGTGCTTCGACCTGGGGCTTTACTTTGGACCGTGTGACGCCGCGTGTGCAAAACTATATACCAACGTCTCGTATCGTTATTTACTTTTTTTTTTCCCCCAACCAACGGGTTTTTATTTACATTGCAGTTGCACCACCAACTCCACCAACTCCACCAGCACCACTAGCTCTACCAGCCCCACCAACTCCACCCACTCTTGCCAGCCGTTGGCACCAGTTGAAATAACGAGCTAACGTTTAATCTCAGATGACTGGAATTAGGTGGAAATGATTACTCGTACTTCCGGTGTGATGCTTTTGTCCTGAATATCCTGGCAAGTCTAGCCGCATTCACTGATTAGTTGTGCCAATTTTTATCTCCTTGTGTAATAATTTACAGGATCGATTCTCAACGGAATTTCTTCATTTCCATCAGACCAATTTTCAATCTGTTCTGCATGAAATATTCCCAACTCGGTTTCCATTTAATCCTTCAGTAATTTATGCACTGTGTTATAGGTTGGGTCGACCCAGTGGCATGGCGCAAAGCACGGAAAGCTTTTGAAGTACATGTTATGTATATATGTATATAAATATATAGGGAGAAGGGTACATATCTGTATGTACAAGGCGTCCCCACAGACTATTCCTATATCTCTCACTTGTACTCCTCAAAGGTATGCCCGGACTCTCTAGATTCTAGACTACCGGTATGCCACGATTCTCTAATAGGATTCTCGATGGGATGAGTTGGATCCTATGGATTAAGATCCGTGCGTGAAGGACAGCCTAGATTAAACTTGTAATCCTTGATTGCTGATTCGTAATACACCGATCAATATTCTCTTGTGATTTTCCACGTCAGTTGACGCCTGGATTTTTCTCCTTAAAATATTTTTATTTCTTTTTTAAAAATATTCTTTAAGTAAGGAAACAATCAGAACTCAGAACTCTTTCGGAAAATCACGTCTTAATCCGATTCTAAAAGGGACACGCTTGACACAATCGATTATCTCGAAAATCTCGAAATTATGAAGCCACGAATCCTTATTGGTCCGTTTAAAATGGCGCGAGATTACAAAGTTGTAACAGACTTTTACGGAAATCGTTTCATATCCGCGCGCTGGCGGATTCTCGTGTCTTAAAAATTGGAATTGTTTCGACCACTCGAGACTCGAACCTGCGATATCTCGTGTATGAGTCTAGCTCTCAGCCCATTACGCTAAAGACTGTGATTTGAATTTCAGACAATTAATCAAATGATAGATTAATCCCTGGAAGACGTCACTAGGTGATTCAATCAATAATTGAATTAATAATGTGGATAATGTGACCTAATTATCAAATCTAAGTGATAATTTCCCCGAACACGCGATTATAATTCAATTGATAACACAATGTCGGGTAATTGTGAAAGATTTTCCTCGCATGTTGAAATGCATAATTATTATTATTTTTAATAGCTCGGAACTATCGCGATTGTTAACCAGTCGATTCGTGAGATGAAAATTAATGAAAAAAAAAATATGAAATCTCAGGTTTTTGAACTCGTGACCTCCCGCAGTGGAACTCCATCCTGAACACCCAGTGCCTCTCAAAACCATCATCCACCACTTGATAACGAAGTCAACCCTCTTCGAAGGGTTAAGCTAATCCTTGAATTACCCCTAATGACCCCTCAAGCTTCTCGAAAACATACCGAATGCTGTTTCTGAAGGTCTCGAGTGCATCTATTTTCCCGAAAATCACCCTAATATACAAAATCCAGTAATTTCCACTTTCCACCCCCATCATCCAGTCAACTCGTTTGATAAGTAGACACGTTAAGTGGTTTTAATTACCAGAGAAACTCGAACATAGCCAAGAAACTTTCGTTTCTAGAAGCAGTGGAGAGTTCTGTCGACGTCTTTCGAGTTGTCGGAATTTCAATCCCTGTTTCCACCCTCACCTCATCCCAAAGGGGTCGAGTGTCATGACCTGTGCTTTATCGAATCTAAACGATTTTCGTAATTGCTGAAAGTTTTCTAGCTCCTGACCTCCTTCGAGTGCATGACGAGTTGAACGGATCATGCCCTAAACATTTTGATAATTTTTTTTTTTTTTTTTCAAAAACCCCAGGTGAAAAAATCGTCGCATGACGCACGCTATTTGATACCCTGGAATTTCACCTGCGGTGCGGCTGTTGTTGATGACATCGGATCGTTTTTCCAAGGGGGTGGTAAGGGGTGAAACAACCGGAAAACTTGCTGGGGAAAATCATCGGGAAGACTGGAGCTCTGCAACAGCTCACAAAGGGCGTAAAACCCGGATTGTCAATTACCGCGGTATGCGTATCAATTTTCTAGTGTATGGGAGGACGTTGGAAAATACCGGTAACAACATGCTAGAGCAGCCCCTATACTTTTATAAACGCCCTTGTCACGTTGCTTTTGTTATCGGAATTAAAGCGCTCATGTATTTCCGAAAATACGGGACTGGGAAAATGTCGATTGATTGTAAAAGATGATTTTTTGGTTTCAGAATTGCCTAAAACTTTCTGGAAAATATATTATCCTCTCAGACTCAATTCAAACACGAAAATTAAATATTCTCTCCAGAAAAATTGAAGAAAATTTCTGAACTTTTTGGAATAATTATTTCCTCATTTTTTTTATTGAGAGAAAATTGAAATTCAGGGGATTATAAATGAAAAATAAATTATCCTGCATCGTCGATTTTCATAATTTATACTTCTTTTCAGTTCTACATTTCCGCCTCTGAACGCTCATCCCATTCTGAAAGGAACTCGCTTGACACAATCGATTATCTCGAAAATCTCGAAATCGTGAAGCCACGACTCCTAATTGGTCCGCTTAAAGTGGCGCGAGATTACAAAGTCACGAATATAATTAAAAAATTATTAAACACATAAAAAAATTCTATAAATTAGAAATTACGCGGAAAATTATTATTTAAAAATGGTAGACAGCTCCTGATTCATTCAATCAAATCTGTCACAAATATAATTACGCGAATGCGCTCACCCGGAATTCTAAGTGATTTAAAATAAAAATATTTTAGCCATCGGCGCTGCGGACATCGAGCGATTCTGCGCTTCCGTTATTTATTAAAACGAGAAATGATTAAAAATGACAGCCAGAAATCCCCTGCCGCGAACAGCGATTATATGGCCAATGGTTTTCAAGTGGGCGGAAGGAAAAAAAAATGAAAAATTACAGAAACCGTTCAATGGCTGTATGAAATGGTTCACGTGTGGTCAAACAAGGACGAAAAAAAAAATAAAAAAACTACAGTAGCTAATGGGTCAGCGTGCAGAGAATCCAAATGCGTGGCTTAACAGGGAAAAAAAAATCGGTACAATTCATCACGAGTGACGACAGTCACGCCAGCAGTTCGGTGGCTAACAAAAATAAAAAAAAAAGAAAATGGGGTAGAGAAAAAAAAAAGAGGGAAACGCGAAAAATGTGAAAAACTGAAAATGCATGGAAAAATGTAATATTCGGAGGGATAAAGCTCCAGAGAGAACGTTAATCGATTTTGAGTTCACGCCTTGCTTTCAGTCATCCGCACACCCATCAATGATCAACACGAATTGACATTTCACGGCTGACGAATCGATCCCTACATCTGCAGAATTCAAATTCCATTATTTACTCCACGAGTGTGAAATTTTGCGAAACCAATACATCTGATTGCCAACAATAAACGACGTTCCAACCGATTTTTCATGTAGAATTTCCGTAATTATTTATATACAGGAGAAACTGATTGGATATATATTAAATACCTAGACCGAGTATTATTAAGTATTTACGAAAGAGTCAAATTTCACGGAATTTTCCAAGAAACTAATAAATTTAACTAAATAACAATTTTACTGGACTATAAATCCATTTATAACATTATAAAATTCATCGTTAAAAGTTGATTAATTAATGACTAAATTCCTAACATTCAAATGCTCAAAATGAATTCAATCTACCGAATCTCCATATTTCAAATATCCCAAACGAAATTCTAATGTTTTTTCCCCCGACGACGAACCCAATGAAGACAACAAATCATTATCGCAAAGATCAAAAATGAATTGAATAATTTGTTTATTAGCGCACGCCCCTTTTTTAAAACCCCGAGATACCAGTGGTAATTATAATTATGAAGTGCGCCCTTATCAATCACCGACACCTGTTTAAACTTCAGTAGTTATCATTGTTACTACGAACTTCTTGATGACCGACAGCCGTCTGGTTCAATTCCCACGGTCGAAAACAATTTCGCGGACTTATAAAATGAACGGGATAAAAAAAAAAACTCCCTTCCCCCAGGTGTATTGAGAGCGCTTTTTAGTGAAACTTGAAACGCTCCATCG